ATTTTGTGATTTGGATGGATATCGCTAATAAAGTACTTGCATTTATTATTATTATTATTATTATTATTGTTGTTGTTGTTGTTGTTGTATTTAATAGATGCTAATTAATTGTGTTAGAAAATTAGAATTTTCTATTTTTAGAAAAGTTGTCAAAATTTCTCATCAAATCAACATTATTTTGCTAAGTATAAAAATAGAAGAGTTTGTGTTAATTAGAACTCTTAAAAGAGTTATTTTCAAAGGAGATATTGTCAAAGTCTCAAAAGATTTTATTGTTTAGAAGACACGCTCTAATCAAATAGAACTTAGTCAGAAACAAAATAACATTTCAGAAGAGTAGTTTTGATAAAAGACTTCTACAATAAAAAATGTAACATTTAGACATTTTGTATTGAAATGAATTATTGAATAGATATTTGTTCAGCGAAATTGCTTTGCCTTCCAATTAGTTTAGTTTTTTTTTTCTTTCTAAATTCTTTAATTAATTTTAGCATTATATTAACTCGATCTCATTAATATTGTGAAAGGTCTAGCCTCTCTGTTCAGCTGAATTATCATGATTTATCTTTTTTCAAATGTTCTGTCGGGTCGGTCGGAATGTGAAAGACCATTGGGATTGGGATTCAACTTAGGAAGAATATAAAAATCTTCCATTATAAAGCCTTGTAAATGTGAGGTGACAATACATAAGGAAGTGCATGATTGACATGATTAAGGTTGCCTTCTTTTCTTAGCAAATTACTTTAATTTTGTCATCCAATATAAAGAGTCTACAAGCTAAGGTTAACATATTCAAAGTTGATGCATGAAAAAGGGGGTGTCCATATGATGATTACGATAGCAGGGGTGTATGATTGAAGCCAAATTCCGATCCAGATAGAGACTTTAATTTGTGCAGATGTGATGAAGATGAAAACAAACAATTTTTCCAAGAAATGATAATGGGGATTTTTGACCAACTTTAATTGAATTGGCGTTGCATCCACGCCCGTGTGGTCTAATCAATCAACACTTTTAATTTGTATTTCCCTTTCTCTTATATCATCCAGCCCTTTAATTACTAATCATCAAACATATTTCTCATCATTACGCTAATCGTTGTCATTAGCGTCGTCATTGTCAAGAGAGTAATCACCAACTCAATAATGTGTAGAATAAAAAAAAAAAAAAAAAAAGAAAGAAAGAAGCCAGACTAGACCACACTATAATCTCTATCTCTGCGGCGGTATCTGATTAAGACCTCTATAAACTTTAAAAGTTTTAAGGTATTAATTTCAAAATTTTAAACAATATTTAAGCATTAGACAATATTCCATTCAAACTTTTAAAAAGTTTTTAAAATATTAATTGTATTTTAAAATTTATTAACTTTCATAATCTTTTTCGTTTGCCAACTCTACAAACTTATAAAGGCTTGGTTCATATGTCGTTCACCCTTTCTGTGCAGTAGTGTGACCTGGTACATTTATATATGCTTGGGGTGCATCCACTACTAAGTGCACCATAGAACACTCATAGGTGCACCATAGTTCACTCATACTTGCGCCACACCCTAGCACTTAGTGTATCACCGAAATATACATAGGTACAGGAAATTACTAAAATATCACCATATTTTTTCACATCTTCATTGATTTTCAATCGTTGATCAGAGTGCATCCAATGGTACAGATAAGTCCGCACGACCCCATAGGAGATCAACGCTGCATTTGAACCAAATTATATATATATATAGCCCAGGTGCGATTGTGCGGTTAAATTTGAGTCTTTGATCTTGATTATAAAAGTATTTATTGAATACACCCCTTAAAAAGAAGGGTACCTTATAGGAATGGAGGATTAAATTAGAAAAGATTTTATTGAGACGTTAGTTTCAAATTTGGACTAGGACGGATGAATGAGCTGAGCTAGTAGTAAAGTTGTTACAGCGTATGTAGCAGGCTATGAGTTTGGAGGAGATCCAATTTAAGAGGGGTGGTTAATGGTTTCCTTGATCGAAATGAGTATTCTAATTGGAAAAAAAAAAAAAAAAAAAAAAAAGATTTGATATGATTAAGAAAGTACATATGTAGTTGATGTCTAAGGTAACTACTTTAGATTATAGGATATTTCTCATAATCTCCATAGAGTCAAGGATAAATTTAAGAATTATTACATTGTTGGGGGGCCAATTTAGAAATCAATTTTAGTAATAATTAGTCCAATTAGCCATAATTACATGCCAAATCGGACAAATTATACTGTGGATCGCGGTCCACAATGCATTAGGTCTAGGCATCAAAACAATGTCGTTTCTTTTAATGAAAAAAACGGTACATGTTCCGCGCCGTTCGCAAAAAGTAACTTTGATTGTATAACATATTCAGTTTAATTTTGCATACACTGCAGTTTCATTTCAACACAACTACAGTTTCATTTTGATATGACTACAGTTTCATTCGATATTATACACTCAAATATGTGAAACTGTTATTCAGTTTCATTTTATATACACTGTAGTTTCATTACAGCATAACTACATTACCATTTCGATATAACTACAGTTTTATTGCACAATATACATTCAAATATGTGAAATGTTATTCAGTTTCATTTTATATACACTGCAAATTCATTTCAACACAACTACAGTATCATTTTGATATAACTACAGTTTCGCTGGACAATATACACTCAAATATGTAAAATTGTTATTCAGTTTCATTTTGTATACTCTGTAGTTTCATTTCAACACAACTACAGTTTCGCTGGACAATATACACTCAAATATGTAAAATTGTTATTCAGTTTCATTTTGTATACTCTGCAGTTTCATTTCAACACAACTACAGTTTCATTTCAATTCAATTTCATTTGATAATATAAAAATAATATGTAAAGCACTGAGGCATTGTCAGTTTAAATACACTTCAGTTTCATTTGATAACTAACCCATCAAAAATATACGTTCCATTAAACTGTAACAATTGTCATTTCTTTACTTAAAAATACAACGTCATTTTTGATCCATGACCCACGATATAATTGTTGCCAAACCGGGCATAAACTACAATTCCCATTACTAATTAAACTTTTATGTTTTTTTGGGCCTAACCCTACGACCCAATTCACGGGCATATCTCACAGTAAATACAGTTTTGACCTACTCACAAATTATGCTGTGCATCCGTATGCACCATGCATGGTGTATACGGATGCCACAAATTATGCCTTGAAAACGTGTTCACCGTGAATGGTGAACACAAGTCCAAACGACATTATTTTTATGCACAAAAAAAAAAAAATTACGGATGTGGAATTAACGGCGCGCGTTTGATCAAATTATGAATTTTCTGTTATGAGATTATGAATGTAATGAAAATTCATAATCTCATAACAGAAAATTCATAATCGCATAAAAGTAAAATATTTATTAAATTATGAATTTTCTGTTATGAGATTATGAATTTTCTATTATGACTTATGAGATTATGAATGTAATTTAGATTCATAATTTCATAACAGAAAATTCATAATTTCATAACAGAAAATTCATAATATCATAACAGAAAATTCATAATCTCATAACTGAAAATTCATAATCTCATAACTGAAAATTCATAATCTCATGGTTCCAAAGTGAATGTGTAGGCATGGTTCCAAAGTGAATGTGCAGGCATGGATTCATAATTTATGAATGTCCGTGATTTCGGACGGGAATGTGTAGGCATGGTTCCAAAGTGAATATGCAGGCATGAATTCATAATTTATGAATGTCCAAAATCATTGCTCAACTCAAATTAAAGTGAAACCGCGAAATGTGAAAATGAAGAAGAAAAGTCACGCAATTAATTAAGAAAAATAAATAAATAAAAATAACGGTGTACTAACACCGTTGGAACTGTGTTCACCATGTTCATGGTGAACACGGTTCCATGGCATAACGATTGTATGGATGCAAAAACGACGTCGTTTTAATAAAACGCGCGTCTCCCCTTAAAAAAAAAAATTCAGGGCCATATAGGTCTTTATACTCATTATTCCTTACAATTCCAAATCTAACCAAACGATAGAATTAGTATTCCCAGTAAATTTTGGTCCCCCAACCAAACGATGAAATTCATCTTCCTAGTAATTGTTTTTCCATTGAATTCCAATTCCACTTCCCTTAAAATATTTTCCGCGAACCAAACGAGCCCTGAATGTTCATTTTCCTAAGTTTCATTTTTTATATACTAAACATTCATTTTCAAGTATACTACTAAAAAGTGAACTATTGATACATTAAAAATGAACATTCAGTATACTAAAGTTAAACATTTATCAATGTTGTAAAAAACGTTAGGCGCCAAGGGGTGCCTCCGATTTTTTATTTTATTTTTATTTTTTTTATTTTTTTTTAATTAAAAAAAAATTAAAAATTAAAAATTTTCAAAATTTAGTACTAAAACATAAGATTTTCATAGTTATTTCTTAGAAACTATTTACAAAAGTGGTCGTAAGATTGTTCAAAAGATTGTTTAAACCATCTAAATACATAAAAAACTAAAGTTAAAGAGCTAAAGAAGCATTTTTTTGAGAAATTAGTGGACCAAACCGCCTTTGGCTGTTTGCGGTGTATAGATCTCGAAAAAATACGCGATTTGAAAAAAAAAATTGTCCGAATCGGACAACCGAGTCAAAAGTTATGCCTTCCGAAACTTTTCTGACATTTAAAAAAAAAAAAAAAAAAAAAAAATTAGCCGAACCGGCCGGTTAGGCGGTCTAGGCGGCCGGCCGCGTAAGAGGCCGCCGAGGCCATTCCTCGCGGCGGCCTCCTAGCGCCTAGGCGCGATTTTTGCAACTCCCTAGTCCATGGTATAATTTTCCCATAAATGCAACAAAAACAAAAAAACAAACTTACCAAAGAGTCAATGTTGAACACCCATCCCATCCCATGTGGTCTCACTAGCATTAGCATTAGAATTCAGGTGACACACAGATCCCAGAAATATAATTATTGTATCAAACCAACAGACATGAATCCATCCTACTATGATTATTACTGACTTCTTATTGCAATAAACAAGAGAACAGATCCACAGAAGTCACAAATTACACTTTAAAAGGCAGTATTAACATGTCACATAGTGCATTCTATTGCAAAGCCCGCAGATGATCACGAAGAAGAAAGCAATGGGATTCCGAATTCTTAAGCCTTGAACTTGAATGAGGAGAGTGTAGATATCAGTATAGCCTCCTCCTCCTGGGCGGGCGTGAATCTCCGCTATCAACGTCTGCAACTCTACCAGCGTCGTTATTTCTCCTCCCCCCGGAAGATGATGCAGTGAGAGACACTGTGGAGTCGATTTCAATGGTAGTGTCAACTGTTTGAGACTCGGAGTGAATCATGGCAGCGATACTCGATACAGAATCTCGGTCGTCAACTGGCGGATGCTGCTCCTGGGTTCTTTCGAAGGGGTTGGTTCGAAAGTATGTCTCGACCAGCCTCTCAGCAGAACTAAATGCAGATGCAAGGCTAGAAATACTAGGAGCTCGATCCCGATCTCGATTTGGATTCGATATCCTTCGCAAGAGCGATGGGAGTCGCCCACTGTCCCACGCATCGGAGTTACTAGGATCTGTCAGGTCAACTGTTGCATCATCGGATGTTGGCACGGGATTTTGATTTTGTTCTCTACGCATTCCCCTCGAGGTTAGAATACGAGCCAGCAGCGAGTTGCGCCTCTCGGGAGATTCCCGGGAGTCTTCGGGATTAGGAGGCTGGACTTGGGCCAAATCAAATCTACTGCCAAGCCTCCGAATCATTTCTTCCATGGGAAAGGTGAATGCGGTCCTTTGAATGGTTTGTCTCCAGCTCTCAAAGCGACGAGCTTGAGGTCTGTGAGGAATCTTAGGACTGGAATCTCCTTCAACTCCTCCTCCTTTTATACTACGCCCACGGCCATAGATTGGAGTCATAGTCTTCATCGTCACTTCCCCTTTACAAACCGGACATTCCTTCGCATCTGAATGAAGATTTAGCCACCGATAGAGACAAGGCCAACAAAATAAATGCCCACAACAAGTGACAACAGGCTCCTGAGCCAAATCCAAGCATATATTGCAATCAAAGACGCTAATTTCATCACTGTTAGCCTTTTCGTTTTCTTCCTTCTTCCTCGAAGCCTCATCGTTCAAATAGCCATTGCTATCATCACATGTTTTCAGCACCTCGGAAGTAAAACTCGCCTCGCCAGCTTGTGATCCACTCCCTCCTCCAATCAATTCCAATGCAAGATTTCTGGTTTCAGGTGGGACAGGGGGTTCTCTCTGCATAGACCGCCATCGCTGTCTCCTTTGCCGCCTTTCCCAAACTATAAATTCCTCCAAAGTAATGCGTGGGGGAGATGATCTTAGGAATTGATCATCATGGGGATGATCAACAGGTCCCAAGTTAAGATCAAGGTTCATTGTATTTCCAGTCTCCTCTCCCATATCCAATTTCCTAAAACTAAAAACACCCTAAACTCCTCAGCTCACTGAAATCAATCAATTCAAAGCCCTGGGTTCTTCTATAATTGAATCGAAACCTAACTCCTACTTCTGGGAAACCCAGGTAAGTTCCGGTGGATTAGTGGAGAGCCCTAAGTGATTCAGTCAAGAAAAAACAAAACCCAGAATCCTGTGGTGAAATTGAATAAGAGCCATAACTTTTTGTCCTCCAACTTCATAGGAATTCTTTATGCTGAGCTGAATTAAAAACAAGTGTTTGGTGGAGAAAGCCCTGACAATAATAAGAAAAAAAGGGAAAAAAGCTTTATCACGCGAAAAGCAAACGGCTCAGCTAGATTCTGACCCAAAATGGAATCAATTTCAGTACTCGAACTCAAAAACCATGATTGACACTTGCTATTCAAAAATGCTAGAAATTCAAGAACATAGGTCTCACTTTATCGATAAAGACACAAACTTTGCAGTTTATTCAGAGAGAGAGAGAGGAGAGAGAGAGAGACCTTTGCGCAAAAGATTGGATTTTGAGGCCTTATGAGTCGCGAGGCGGACTAGGAAATGCTTGCTACTCCTCTGAATGACCGGATTTTTCATGGGTACTTCTCTCTGAAGTCTGAAGAATAGGGATCTGGGCATCGGAGATCAGATCAAGATTTGGGGTGACAATTGGCTGCCTGATACCGATAATCCACAGATTGTTTCTTTCCCGTACCCTTTTCTGGACAATGCAACTGTGGACGTCCTAAAAACCTCTGATAGTTGCTACTGGGACATGGAAACTATTAGAGAGATCTTTGATACAAGAGATGCAGATCTTATTCAAAAAATTCCGCTGGGAAAACACCAGACAGAGGACAAGCTAATCTGGAATCCGAATGATGATGGGGTTTTTACTGTGAGAAGCTGCTACAAAGTTTTGAATGGTGAATTAAGGGCAGAAGATAGAATGAAGTGGACTCTTATTTGGACTCTCAAAATTCCACCCAAAATTAAAATCTTCATTTGGCAGTTATGCACTAACTGTCTACCAACCAAGGATCTTCTAATATCCAAGAGAGTTAATTGTGGAGAGTGCTGCCTTTTATGTGACCAAGAGACGGAATCTGCATGGCATTTGTTTGTGGATTGTATTCATGCTCGACAATGCTGGAGTATTCTTGGGTGCCAACCGAACTCTGCTCATTTCTCATCTGTCCAGGAATGGTTCATCTTTCTATCATCATCTTTGCCTAGGGATCAATTATGCACAGTGATCGTGTGTTGCTGGGAAATTTGGAGGCAAAGAAACGACAAGATCTGGAACAACAAGAGGATTCAAAGTGCAGAGACCATTGTCTTTAAAGCTTCGAAGTATCTGCAGGATTGGAGAGAAGCAGCCTTACCATCCTTACCAGTTAATGAGGAGTCGACTACTGTGCAACCTAAATGGTCAAAACCACAGGAAGGTTTTCACAAACTAAATGTCGATGCAGCGATAGACTCAATCAACGGCAAGATGGGCTTTGGGTGCGTCATCAGAGACGAACACGGCACTTTTGTAGCAGCTAGAGGAATTCAATGGGATGGTGTTTTCTCACCCAGGGAAGCTGAAGCTACTGCGATCAGGGAAGCACTGAGCTGGATTAAAGAACTAAACTTGAATAAAGTCAGCGTTGAGACGGATTCTCTTCAAGTGGTCAACAGTCTCAAATCGAGTATAGGAGAATCCTCTTTCCATGTAATCCTTAGTGATATTAAAAACGTATTGTGCGACTTTTCGCATGTGTTTTTATCCTTTGTAAAGCGATCAACGAACGGTGTAGCTCATGCTATAGCTAGATATGCCGTTTCTAGTTCTGGTTGCTCCGAGTGGCTTTCTATTCCGCCACCTTTCCTTTGTAATGCTTTGTCTACGGACTTGATGAATTAATGTTATGACTTTCTTTCAAAAAAAAAAGGGATCTGGGCATCGGAGGAGAGAGGGAGAGAGAAAGGGACTTGATTCTCTGCATGCTAGCACACACACGATGTGGGTAATACTTATTTGGGTCCCACATGGACGATGTCGAACACTCGTGCTTAATCGCCATTTGTTAACTTTAATTTTTACCTTTAGGGGCCGTTTGGTTCACGGAATGTTAGATTACCTTAGGGAATGTTAGATTGCTGGGAATGTTAGATTACTGGGAATGTTAGATTCCTGTGTTTGGTTAAGACTGAGGTATATAATATAATTATGTTTGGTTTAGGGTTATCTTTATATATATATATATATATATATATATATATATATATATATATATATATATATATGTGTGTGTGTGTGTGTGTGTGTGTGTAAGCTAACATAAAATATATATTTTTAAATAATTAGAATGAAAATAGCAAAAATATCCAAGGTTATCTCACATTACCTAAGAAAAGGAAGGGAATCACATTCCCTTCAAAATCCTATGTGGAGGGAATGTTCCATTCCGTGGGAATGTTATATTCCCTCAGATAGTATGAACCAAACATAGGAATCTAAGCTCAGGAATGTCATATTCCCATGATTATGTAATATAACCTGAACCAAACGCCCCCTTAAACTATCTTTACTTAAATTTTTTGATAAATTAATATGGAGTAACATACATCACTCCATATAAGAGAAATTGATCTTGCACCAATGTGATGAGTTATTTATAATCACCGGACACTAATATTATTACCTAATGAGTTACTAAGTAACTGAGATTTACATGATTAATGAATTAATCTTTTATTTAAAAAAAAATAACTGAGATTTACCATTTTATTATTATGTCGAATCAAAGTGAAATTTTGAGATCGAGAGAATTTTACATTTTGTGAGAAAAAATAGATACTAAAGTCATGCTTTTAATGAAACCAACCGAACTAGTGGTATTTAATATTTGCAATCACAATTGGATGTTTTTGGCATTAGAGGAATGGTGCGATTTTCTCACAATATTATATATATGTTGAGTTTTAAAAATAAATTAATGAAATAAATGACTTTTTTTTAAGGATATATCCTCTAGTGTTAAAAACTTAAAATTAGATTAGATTTTAACTAATCACGAAAATGAAAAAGTCTCAAAATAGTTTACTTAGGCTAACCACATCTCTAAAAGAATGAGATTTAATTTGCACATTGATGTGGAAAATACTAAAGTCTTTTTTCTTTTTCTTTGCTTGTCAAGTGTGTTGCAAGCTTGGATCGGAATTGCTAGAACACAAGCTTGCAACACACACTTCTGAAAAACTGTAAAATAGCAACTTTTGTATTTTGTTTTAAAATTTTATCATTATTATTATATATAAATATATTTATTTATTGAAAGTGACACCGCTTTTAAAAGTGAAAGAGTATTATGGATGTGTAGAATAAATCATGAAGGAATTGTAATTTTGATTAGGTAAAAGTAGAGTCCACTTTTAAAAAATGAGAGAATATTGCAAGGATAAGAATAGCCTTAGGGTGATACACATACATGTTGAAGTTGCAATAATGGAGGGAAGACTAGTTATGGGGTACAAATTAGATATTCCATGATACCATGTGATACATGTTTCACTTACAATATTGGTATATATCATATATAGTCAGGAAGATCGAAGTAGATGTTTGGACTGTTTTTTTAAAAGACTTCAACTTGTTTGAGATAAGAGATATCAATGTGTTTCTTTGAAATGTGATTCTGAGTTAGTTGTAAAATGACTAACAAAAGGATGACATGCATCAAGATCTTTTGTTGAATATTTGGGAGGCAAGAAAGCAAATGGTGTGTCATCACACTCCATTGTAGTTGGCATATTTAGTTTATTTAAATTAATTATATTTTTGGCAATTTATATCCTACACCACGGCGCGCGTTGCACTGTGCGCCCAGATGCAAAACGACGTCGTTTTAATTTTTTTTTTTTTTTTAATTTTTTTGAAATTTCCCGCCCCAGTGAATGGCAATAATTTTTTCTTTAAAAAAAAACCCGTTGTTCAAAAATGTACATAATGTTATACTAGAATACACATAATTATATACATGAATGTACATAATTATATAACAAAATGTACATACTCTCTTTAAAAGATAATACACATAATCTAACATAATACATAATAAACATAAATTTTTAACATAATACACATCAACTCTTAACATAATACACACAATTTTCTGATTCGGATGTACATAATTGTATAAAAAGAATGTACATAATTGTATAAAAAATGTACATAACTGTATGAACAAATACACATAATTGTATGAACAAATACACATAATTGTGTGAACAAATACACATAATCACAGTAACTTCCTACCGCGCTTCCCAAAACGACGTCGTTTTGGGAGGCGCGTGGCGCACAGTGCTACGCGCGCCGTAGTGTAGGGTATAACGATGGTATATTTTTCGTATATTAACATAATATTTATTGTGGGCTTGGGTAAGTATTTATGTACAACTATGATCCATAATATGATGATCGAGTAATGTTGTGAAAGTTCTTTGCAATTGTGGAATTAGCCTGCTTCGATGGGAGGCATGAGTTTTTTCTTAATTTTTGATCAATTGAATGTGTATTTGGGTGGGAAATAAACGAAAAGCCTATTATACCCTTACATTTCACGATTGAGACGGAGAAGTTTTACGGAAAGACTAGTAGAGGTCATTTTTGAAATTCAGAAGATCACGAAGAGTCAAAACGAAAGTTTAGGACTATTATATTGGTGACTGAACCACTAAACTCGAGAGACCTTGACTGATATTTACTCATATATATATATATATATATATATATATATATATATATACACTGGCTTCGGGTCCCATGAGGTCACTTAGATGGGTGAGATAATGGGGCCTCATCTCATCCATTAAATCATAACATATCAAAGGGTGAGATTGAAAGAGATTTATTTTCCATCTATGGTAGTAGTCTATGTATAAGGGTGTATAAGTAATTGTAATATTAGAGCTATATATGGTTAGGAATAGATTGGAATATATTTCATGCTAATGATCAACTAATTATGGTGTTGAATAATATATTTACGGTTATAAATTATTGTTGATAGAGTGTGAGTTGTATTTAAACATTTGTACTCAGCAATAGTGTTTTGCAGTGGGATATCTCCTCAACAATGAAGGTGTAACCGGAAAGAGGTATGTGCAACCTTAATAGAAGTGTGTTATGGGTTATGTTCTGTCTGTGCAGCCATTTAGTTAAGTCGGTGCGTTGAGTTAAGAACCCAACGCAGAAGCCCAAAAACTAAACCGAACAAACGTCAGACCTACTAGAATCCAGTGTAAATTTTTTTAAACCCAAAAAAAAAAAAAAAAAAAAAAAAAAAAAAAAAAAAAAAAACACACACACACACCCCTTGTAAACCCCAACCGCACAGACCATAACAACAAAAAACACCAAATAAATATATAAAATAACAACACACCAACAGTTAATAGATCATTACATGTTACAATTAAAATACACATACCAAAATTACTTTACATAAAAAAACAAAAACCAAGCTATAAAAATATGGTAAAAGTTTGCCTCAATTCTAGTTGACAGTCCAAATAAGAGATATTTGGCCTGAAAACTTGTCAACCTATTTGTGACCCAACGCACAAGCCGAACACATAAAATGCACACAGAAAAACTTCATAATACAACGCAAACTTCTGTTCATTAATTTTTAAATTGAATAAAGGAATCAACATGCAACAAAAACCACAACCATACCGCTGATTGATCATACCCGTCATAACAAAGAATTTAAGCCAAACGCACACACGGAAAAACAAATTGCACACACAGCATAACAAAGAATTGAAGCCAAATGCACACACGGAAAAACAAATTGCACACACCCGATACAATACCATAATTAAGTAGTGCACAAGCCCATAAAATCTGCTAATTAATTATTACACCCTAATTAAGACACTACCAAAAAGACAACAATACCCCCACATGCAAATAAATCACACGCACAAGGCATTATATTCAGCCAAATCTAATCCATCCAAAAACCCAAATAAACACACCAGATCAAGCCTCACCCCCTCGCCTGACAAAGGTAACCTCACCGGATCCAAAATCTAAAGACACTAACTAATTAAATATGTTTGAAATATTTATTATTCAATCTTATGATGATATGTTCAACATTTATGGTATCACATTGTCAGTCTGTAATCGTTACACAAGGAGGAAAAAAAAAACATTGATTTTTCCCCATATATTGATGAATTGATCGACTTCACCTTCACCTTCAATTCACGTAGCCCCCGGTTCTGAATCTTCAAAAATTACCAGCAACAAAATCCCCTTTCTTTTACCTGAAATTTAACCTTGATTCAATATGTCTAGTATAGAATTGTACTTACTGGAAAATGGAAATTAAATGAATTGATGAATGCTTACATTTTGAGATTTTTGTGTCTGGAAATCCTTTTTGCTCTCTGGGTCTATCTCCATCCAGACTCGAGAGCTAATGGGAGAAGAAATCTTGACATTTAGCTCTTTCTTTGAACTCTCACTCATGGAGTCAAGTGATGGCTTTTGAGCATGATGATGATGATGATGAGGAGTGAGCGGTTTGGGCAGATTAACATATCCGCCGGCGGTGGTTTTTCCTTCCCGTCCTGTAGTCAAGTCCTCATCGTCCAACACCGACTTGGCGAAATCAATGGAAAAACAGGCGTCGCTGAACTGGTAGCTAGGCGTGGCGGCCATGTCCTCCAGTTTCGCCGGCGTTTCTAGGTGCTCTCTGTTCATTCCTCTCCACAGCAACTCCATCAATTCGTGGCGTTTGCTCCAACACGGCTCCACCCTGCCGCCGCCGCCGGATTCGTGGAGAAACTGCGCGCCTCTGTTGGTGATGGCGCAGGAAATATGCACGTCGAATTCGCACAGGCCGCAGTGGTAGAGCCAGGCGGCGGCGTGGGCGGCGTAGCAGGGCCTGGCGCACAAGTCGCACCGGAAATCATACGGCGGCGAGAATTCCAGCGTCAGCTCGTGGGGGTGCGAGGGGACTTTGACAGAAAGCGGCATGGCTAAGCAGAGGACATGGTAAAAACTCTGGCATTTAACGCAGCCGTAATAGAAAGTGGAGATTGATTGCCCACAGGCCTTGCAGGGCGCCGAGATTTTCAGGGACGAGAGGTCTAGTGGGTGTGGATCAACCGTGTGGTTCACGTTTTTGGGCATGCCGAAACACACTTGATGAAGAAAGAAGGAGCATTTCCGGCACATGTAACAGGGTTTCGCCGGAAAAATGGTGGTTTTGCAGCCATGGCAGACTGGGTTTCCTTCCGGCGGCGGATTGCCCAGCACCAACAGATGACCGTGGCTGAAATGTTCCATCAATCGTTCCTCCCTCTCATCTTCCATTGGAAATCTCACATTTCATTTGTGAGGTATCCTATGGCTTCTCCCTCTTTTGAGTCGTCTTTAAGCGGATGTAACGAGGGCTCTTGTTACAAAAACATATAATATAATAATGCATGCAAGCATCATTGATCCTCCCCTATTGGCATATTCATGACTAAGTTGTTATCATCAATTATAATATAAAACTATTTGAATTAGGACAAAACACCCTAAACATGGTTCTCAAAATCACACAATTTGTCACACTTTCAACTAGGGATGCAAACAAGTTGAGCCTGGTTTGAACTCGGGCTCGATAAACAATAAATAGGTTTGATATCGAGCTCAAAAATTAAAGCTTGAGTCCGGCTCAATTTTGACTCGAGCTCGAGCTCGAGTTACTCAAGATCTAGCTTCTCTGGTTAATAAATTCAAAATAAATTGATAGTTTAGCGTTGCTGACATGGAGAAATTGATTTTGCGGTGAACACAAGTGTACAAAAATAAATTAAAGTTAATCTTGTCAAATCACATAATTTTTTTTCGGTTAAAAGAAATAAGAAAATTAATTTTAAAAAAATGAGAACAGTTTCATAAATATAGTAGAACAACCTGGTCAAACCTTTGAATGGTCTGCAGTTTGGTTCGTTTACTAAGACTATTTTCTTCTTCTTCTTCTTCTTCTTCTTATTGTATTGATGCCATTTGTAGATCAACTAAGAGAAATGCAATCAAGATTTAAAAAAAAAAAAAAAAAAGTTGTACACAATTATTAATTTAGACAAGAACACTTGCATTTCAGACAAACTGACTCAGATTGAATGATGCCATCATCTCTGCAAGCTTCTGGTTCATTTGCATCTGAAGTTGAAGCGAATATAATTCCGCCGCCGCCGCCTCATCTGGTGTTAGCTGACCACAACTACTGCTTTCACCCTGACTCTGATTACCGCCTGAGTTTGTAGCCGGCGCCGGCGCCGGCGGTGGTTCAGACTCCAGGTCCTGATACAGCCCCGGTTTGACCTCCGTGGTGGCGCAGAAAGTATGGACGCGAAAATCACATTCATCATCACTTTTAGCACAGCAATAAGACCAGAGCTTAGAATCCATCTTTTTGGTGCATATTTTGCAGTACTCATCAACCGATTCCTTGTGACCCCCCGGGGCGGGAAAACTGAGGATCAGATCATGCTGGTGGGCCTTGTGGGTCACCTTGGGCGGCAAGAACGCGCAGTGGAGGTGGAGATCAACCTCGCAAAGCGCGCAGCCGTAGGAAAAAGCGCTCCCCGGCGAGCCGCAGGCGTTGCACAAGAAGGAGCCGCTGCAGTAAGTTGGGGCCGGGAAGAGGACGAGAGGGTGAAGGGGGTGCGATGGGTGGTTGAGGTAGCGGTTGGCGTTGCCGCAGTGGTCGTGGAGGAAGAAATGGCAGCTCCGGCAGGCGTAGACGGAGTCGTAGCAGAGGGATTGGCAGCCATGGCAGCGACATTGCTGCCCTTCTTGCACCTTGAACAGGTTTAGTGTGTGAGGGTGGCTGAAATGCTTATACTCCATCTTAGTTTAATTTCTTATCTCAAACTTTTTTTTTTTTTTTTTGGATACAGAAAATGAAGTGTTTCTATGTATGACATATATAGTCCAGTATTATTATTATTATTATTATTATTTACATTATATTTAATTTAATTTGGGCACAAAAGAAAAGGTCAAAGTCAAGCTGCCAGAACATATTGGCTAGCAGATATTTATGAATTCTTGGTGTAAATATTCCATAATGCCAAGTGGAGAATTAAATATAATATAATTGGGTAGGTCAATGTATGTAGCAGCATATTGAAGCTTTGTTGTTGTTTACCTTGACATTTATGAGTAATGTGATGCGAAATAATTGGTTGAAAGAGTCAAAAATATATGGAGTTACCAAAATAATAATAATGATAGAAAGAGACTTACTAGTTGACTAAGAAAATAGGGATAAGGGTACCTAGTTTACAGTTCGTTTGTTTTGTTGGAAAATAAAGTTCGTTTGTTTTGTTACACGGAATGGACTTAGAGATTTAACTAGGTTAGTCTTATCAGGCAAGAAATAAAGTATAATATATTCTTAAGTCTCAAAGAACAAAACTGAGAGTCATAAAAGAGTAGGCACCATATCATATGACAATACTTTGATATTCAAGAAACACCATTTTTATCAAAAACCAAAACAGGTAGCAACATTTAGAAGGAACACAACTCTTCTTACATAGTAATCCCATGAAAATCAACATTAAAACTTTGGCATGACTTTGTTCCTATGTCCGCTGATCAAACCTTCAAAAACTCGGCCAAAAACAAAAAAGAGGAACAGAAGAAAGATACCGAGTAATGTGTAAAAGAAAAAGAAGAAAAAAGAAACAAATAAGAAGCAGCAGCACTAGTCCGCAATCAATTTAATGAGAAAAAATCTCCCTAAGACATCCTGTAACCTCTCCATCGCCCTCGCCAGCATGCAGTACTTAGAAGCATTTTCTGTGGACAATGGAAGGACCAGACTCATCATACTCAGCCTTTGCAATCCACATCTGCAGTCACAGAGAAGAAAAAAATAAATCCACAGTGCCTAACATCTTCGAAATAAAGATAAACATGGAGTTAAGAGATGTAATATACCTGCTGGAAAGTACTGAGGGAGGCCAAAATAGATCCACCGATCCAAACACTATACTTCCTCTCAGGTGGAGCAACAACCTTGATCTTCATGCTACTTGGAGCCAATGCAGTGATCTCCTTGCTCATTCTATCAGCAATGCCCCCGAACATGGTGGTACCACCACTGAGGACGATATTTCCATACAGATCCTTCCTAATATCCACGTCGCACTTCATGATAGAATTGTAGGTGGTCTCATGAATGCCAGCAGCTTCCATCCCAATGATCGAGGGCTGGAACAGAACCTCTGGGCAGCGGAACCGCTCATTACCAATGGTGATCACCTGCCCATCAGGGAGCTCGTAGGACTTCTCAACAGATGAGCTGGTCTTCGATGCTTCTAGCTCCTGTTCATAGTCAAGGGCAATGTAGGACAACTTCTCCTTCATGTCCCTCACAATTTCACGCTCCGCAGAAGTGGTGAAAGAATAGCCTCTCTCTGTCAATATCTTCATCAGGTGGTCTGTCAGGTCACGCCCTGCCAAATCAAGACGCAGGATTGCGTGTGGAAGGGCATAACCTTCATAAATGGGAACTGTATGGCTCACACCATCTCCAGAATCAAGAACAATTCCTGGCAACAATTACAAACTCTACTATGTAAGTTCAAAAGAAAAAAGAAAAGAAAAAACTCCATCTTTCTTCCCACCGACTCTAATCATAAATGGGAACTGTGTGGCTTACCTGTTGTACGACCACTGGCATAAAGGGAAAGAACTGCCTGAATGGCAACATACATGGCAGGGGTGTTGAAGGTTTCAAACATGATTTGTGTCATTTTCTCACGATTAGCCTTTGGGTTAAGAGGAGCTTCAGTGAGAAGTACTGGGTGCTCTTCTGGAGCCACACGAAGTTCATTGTAGAAGGTATGATGCCATATCTTCTCCATGTCATCCCAGTTGTTGACAATTCCATGCTCGATCGGGTACTTTAGGGTCAAAATACCTCTCTTGGATTGAGCCTCATCACCAACATAGGCATCCTTCTGGCCCATGCCAACCATCACACCAGTGTGACGAGGGCGTCCAACAATGCTGGGGAACACAGCCCTTGGAGCATCATCTCCAGCAAATCCGGCCTGGCAATTCAAGATAAATTCAAGATCAGCTTCTAAAGCCCAAATTTAGATTATATTAGATGTTAAGATGGCTTACCTTGACCATTCCTGTCCCATTGTCACAGACAAGAGGCTGGATATCCTCACCTTCGGCCATCTTCTAATATCTGTCAAGATTCAAGAAACAACCCCATTACATACTTCAAAGGAGTACCTAACATCAGCAGGCCTAAAAATGAAAATACAGAAACTAATACAGGTTTCAACAAAACTAATCACAATAACATGATCTCAAATGCAAACCTGGAAGGTTGAACAAAATTGTACAGAATGAAGAAAATCCATGATTGCCTATTACAGATTTCTATTATAAAAGGGAAGGGCAATGATATGATCTACTTCAACATACCAGGGGTACAAACCATATAAAGGTACCCCTACACTAAAGTGCAATGATACATTGGTACACATTAAAACCCATTTGTTTCCAGAAACAAAATGCCCAAATCTCAGAGTTTCATATACAAACCATATACGCAATCCCGGGGAAAAAAATAAAAAAGAAGAGAAATGCCCAAAATTAATACTCCAATCAAAATCCAGATAATAGCAGACAAAGGAAAATGCCAAATCATTTCAAATCAAATAGTACTCAATAAGCAATGAACATTTCATTCATTTTCAAGATACCCATTCGGAGATCCATGAACCTAAATTCATCGACACCATAATCAAACCATTTCTTGAACAAAAAGATAATTACAAATCCAAAGAAAGAAACATTTGCAGTGAATCCATCAAGAACCAGCCAAAAAAAATCAACCTTTTTCGAGAAATTAGAGAGCAAAGATGATACCTTTGAGGGTTTGGAAGAGATGGGTTTGTGTGTGTGATGAGGCGTTGTGGCTCTCTCCCTCGTGTATTTACAGAGAAGAATGGTTTGGTACTGGGGGGCTTAGGTTTAAACGGAAAGCAGAAAAGTCTCGGTCAGCCAGGAACGAAATTCTGGTGAAATTCAGTTGAGATTAGATCAAGGCCATTGGTTATATGATGGCAGTGTGTGGGACCCTATAATACCATCATTTTCATTCCATTCATGGCTGAAATTTGCTGGCTCGCTTTTGCCTTCATATTTGCTGTAAAGACAGATGTAGCCCCCAATTTCAATACAATATCTTCCACTTTCCTTTACCTTTTAGATATTTCACATCATTTCCTCATGCCCAATTTGCCCACCCACACTCTTCATCAATAATAACATTAAAATTAAAATTAAAATAATAAATAAATAATACTCCGGTATATCAAATAACAACATTAATTCTTTACTCAAATTCAATTAATTGTATTTTTTTTTTGTTTTTTTAAAATGAACAATATTGCAAAAGTCACTCATTTTTTGTCACCTCTAGTGTGGTGAATTTTTCGTTAGTTAAAATTTTAAATTAAAAAAATAAAAATAAAAAATAAAAAATTAGTCACACGCAAAATAGCTACATTGGAAAATGACAAATTGTGTGACTTTGTACGAGTTGGGAGTACTTTTTTTTTTTAAATATAAATATATATTATTGCTCGTCTTTTCACAAGCTACTAAGTGTTTTTTTTTTTTTTTTTTGAAAAAGAAGTATTGAATGTGAAGCATTTTGAAATTAAATAGGCCACAAGATTTGAATCTTGAACTCTAGTAATTATTGTTGGAAAAATATTATATAAGAAGAAAAGTAAAAAGAGAAAGAATAAAACTAAAAAGGGCAAAATTGTCAGGTGCAAAAAAAAAAAAAAGTGATCCCTCTGAAGATTCATTAGAACCTTTATTGTCTGTTTACCGGTAGCAATCAAATGCACTTTGTTCACTTTTTATTTATTTTTAATTATTTTTTCTTTTCCTTGTCAACAAAATAATAGTGGGGTGGTAATAATGAGAGGTCATGGTAGGGACAGTTGCCAGCCTACAATTCCACCTCTTTCAGTCTGGAGATCTGTTAATTAAGGCTCTAACCTTAACCTTCACGTGTGCTCTTATTTTGAGTAATAATACATCTTAATTATATGCTTTTTCTTATTAATCTAACATATTTTAAATAACAGTGTGTCAATTTATATTTTTTATAAAAAAATTAAACATATTTTTTCGCAGGTGTATGTATATATCAACTTTGTTGTCCTTTGGGTTGCTATTGATGTAAAATGTGAACAAAAACATCAAGTTAGGTTCATCATATTCAACAAACTTAACCACATACGATAAAACCCTAAAACATCATAGGACGTACAAAGAAAGAAAAAGCGAGCATGCATTTCCATGCATGCATGCAAATTGCAAAATCAAACCCTAACGAAGAAGATGCTAAGCTCAGGTCCGCTGTTCCCATCCGGGCTCATCATGTAATAAGTCTCGGAATCTTTGGACCCGATTACCCGCTCAAAGAAAGCTCTCAAGTAAGTTAATTCCCCTTCCGCCGGCGGCGAGTCGACGACGTTTTCGCTAGGGAGCACGCCGGCGCCCATCGACACGGCGTGAAGCTTCTGCATTACATTCAAATCATCGTCGGTTGCTCCCCGCTTGACGGCGTACCCCGTTTTCCGGCCGTTACAGTACATCGTCCAGATCGGCTCGTCGATGAGCTTCGTCTTCTCCGACGGGTTCTTCTCACACTCCAGTGCTATTCTCACCAGGCCGGAACCCATGTCCTGGAGGAGCTTATCCGTGTGGATTGACATCTCCAGGATTAGCTGCGGGACGCTTCGCGGGGTTTCTTGAATGCTCACGTTGATTCGACCCTTCCGGAAACCGAACAGCGTCCCCGTCATCTGTTTGCCGCCGTGAATGTGGTTGCCGTCTTGGAGGCGGCCGCCGGGAACCGGCATCTTGCACGGAGTGCTGATGACGGGGAACGACCTGAAAACTGACTTGACCCGGCGGAAGAGCTTCTGCGGTTTCCATTGGCCGCCTTTCTTACCGTGAGAAGGTTGTTGCAGGATGACTGGGGCGGCCGCCGGCCTCGCCGGAGACTGGTTAGGAGCCACCGCATTGTTGGGTGTTGGTCGCCTGGGGGGAGGTTTCGGCACCGGCATTATTATGTGGTTCTTGATAGCCGGCCGGAGCTTCAACATAAGGTGTTAATGTGCAATGCCAAACGACAGTGATCTCGTCGTACTATATGAAGAGATATGTTGTGGGAAGCACGTATGTTTAATGTTTTGTTGTATATATATTAATTGTACTGTAGAGAAACATGTGTAGATGTAGGTGTTAGGTATGTAGTTTAATGTTTTATTTTTTTTGAATGCAGTTTAATGTTTCATTCAATAACCAATCATACAATCAATTTAAATTTATACCTCAAAACGACTCAACAGTACTTAAATAATTATAAGTTTAATCATGGTCAACACAAAATATTGCTAATGTAATTTACTTCTCCTTGTGGGTTAGGAACCTATTAGCATTATTTCATGAACTTCCATTAATATGATAAAGAGTTAATTATCAAAATTGGTCCCTTAACTATAGTGAAATTACCAATTTGGTCCTTGACTATATTTTTTAACCAATTAAGTCCCTCAACTTTAAAATTTTTAACCAATTTGGTCCTTCGTTAGTTTGACCGTTAGTCAACCGTTAACTTGGGACCAAATTGGTAATTTTGCTATAGTCAAGGGACCATTTTGGTAGTTAACTTTAGGGGTGGGCAATTCGATTTGGTTTTCTCGAACCGAACCGAACTAGTTTGGTTCGGTAATATACCGAACGATATTGGATTCTTGTATACCGAACGGTTCCATAAAAAAACGATCCAAACCGATCCGAATTGTTCGGTAAAAAATTGAATAGAACCGAATATCGTTTGATTTTTATATAAAAATATAATAATAATAATAATAATAATAATAATAATAATAAATAAAAAGTAAATCCAAGTCCCTTGCTGCTTGCTTTGCCGTTCAACTCATATTCTCACGGGTATCTCTCGTAAATGTTTTGTTTGATTTCTTTATGGTTTGTTATCAAAAGTTCTATATTATTTGTTATGGTATTTACATAGTCCATATCCAAAGTCTAATATATAACAAAATAGCAATCCAAAGTTCAAACGGTATTCGGTTCGGTTCGAATTTTACCGAACAATTCAGTTCGGTTCAAGTTTTTACCGAACCATTCGGTATACAAGAATCTATTATCATTCGGTTGTTCGTATATTACCGAATCTAACTAGTTTGGCACGGTACGGTTCGAGAAAACTGAACCAAATTGCCGACCCTTAAAGTTAATTATCAAAATGGTCCCTTGACTATAGCGAATTACCAATTTGGTCCCAAGTTAGGTTGACTAACGGTCAAACAAACGGAGGACCAAATTGGTTAAGATTTTTAAAATTGAAGGACTAAATTGGTCAAAAAAATAGTCAAGGACCAAATTGGTAATTTCGCTATAGTCAAGGGACCATTTCGGTAATTAACTCTATGATAAATTCATGATTTTTTCTATAACAATATATATTTATCTAATTAATTTATGTTACAACCAAACAAGATTAAAAAAAAAAAAAAAAAAAACGGAATAAGTGTCAAATAGACCATCCAACTGCACACGATAATACAATTAGGGAACCAAATCTTTAAAAAAAAAAAATTTAACTAGCCAATTTCAAAAAAAAATTTAAACTAGCCAATTTCATACTATTACAGGTTTTTAGGTTTCTAACTGATCACCCCAAATTTAAAATTCAATACTGTCATTAATTCCTATTGCTATAGTTCATGTTCACATCGTCCGGTCCTTGAACATTTGTCTCAAATGTGATGAACATTTCAATAAATTAATATTTAATTGAGTTATTCACCATTTTGATTCCTCAATTGTTTTTTAACTGTTAATGTAGTCCATAATTTCCAATTTCAACCAATTTGATAATCGAATTGTTATATTTGCACAAACCTTTCAAGTAAAAACATTGTAACAAGGTTTAACTTATTAGAAGTAGGTCATTTTTAGCAATGTTGGCCAACCAGCCAAGCAATGCATGGGAGGTCATCATCTGCTCTCCCGGGTTCGAGACACAATGATGACACTTACTTGATTTATATATTCTATATAACGTCATTCCAAACATGTTTACGAAAAAAATTTAGAGATAAGAAGGAATTAACATGTCGTTTTCTTGCATTCAAAAAAACATGTCGTTTTCTTTAAACAATATTCTATGTTCAAACAATATGGTAAAATAATAGTTATCGAGGAGAATCTTTTCATACAGAGTTTGAGAAATAGTGGTTCAACATTAAATTAGTATTCCGTAAGAGTCTAATGTGACTATTAGATATCAAAACTAGAATTCTTTAAAATAAGATAGAAAGACACATGACTATAATTTCTATAGGTGTTAAACTAATTATCCAAAAACTTGAGTAGGTTGTATGATATATTGCAAAAAGACTAATTCCCAAGAAACAAGATAGGCCTAATGTAACACATGAGACACTTTGCTACACATTTTCGAGGTTTCCTATATCCTTCGAGACATATGTTGGACTTTCCCACAACTTCTCATAGTTTGTAGAATAGTTTGGAAGCATGTACATAGCACTAGAAGATGTAGATATACTTCAAATATTCTAGAACATTAGGAAATTCTTTTGGTTGTGTAGAGATTCTTAGAGGATTCTAGAGAACAAATCTTAACTGTAGGAGCAAATAGATCTCCACCCTCCATTGAGAAGGTAGAATGAGTATAAATACCTCTAAGGGGGCATCATTTGTAATCAATCCAAGAGAATCTATGAGTTCAAGTAATTAAGTTCCTTCCAAAACTTTTAAGTTCTTTCTTAATTAAGCTTCTTTGTGAGATTCTTGCCTTAGTCAATTTCTTAGTCATCCCATTATTAAATTAGCATTAGCTCGAGGGTCAAGCGAGGGCTATTGCAAGGAAAAGAATAACTAAGGCCGCATGTGACGTCGTTAGAGGGAACAAGAAAGTGACACCTAAGCTAAGCAAACATACTTTGTAGTTTTGTAGTAAAGTTTGAAGTATTTGATGTAGTAGCCATATATGTATATATCATTTCCCGTGGTTGCTATGAAGTGGTGAACCTAAAAGAAGCAGAAAGTCACCACAAGTAATCAAGTGAAATGGCACCAAAAGCTCAGGGTGTGGTCTAGGAAGTGAACCTAAAAGAAGCAAAATGCCATTACAATTAACCGAGTGGAACCAAGCTCATTGTGTATGGAATCACAATGGGAGCAAACATGTAAGTTGGGCCCCAATGCAGAATAAGGGCAGAGCAGTTTGGCTTTCCTGATGTCAAAGTTGTATGCATAGACGTTAGTTATATACTCAGAAACAACTTCATATCCTTTGAATGACAAAAGATTGATCTAAGGAAAAGTGTTAGTTGTGAGATAGCTTTCAATGCACTTTGGATTCTCTTTCTCGATTTCAAGTGCTGTAGAGTCCAAAATGAAAACAATCCTCGAGTTTAGAGGTGTTCAATAAGTTAATCAAAATTTTTAAAATTTTAACCGTTAACCGCAATACCGAATCAAACTTTGTATTACCGAATTAATAACCAAATCGAAGTTTTTTCGGTTAATCGGTTTACCGATTAATCGAATTTTTTAAACTAAATTTTTAAATTCTAAAAATAATACTTATAATAATAAATTCAATTAAAATAATATATATAATTATAAATTCATAAGAATATATACAAAAACAATATCATAACAACATTACAAATTTATAGGGATTTCACATATTAGATTATATATTTATTTATTTATATATTTTAAGAAAAACGATTAACCGAACTTCGTCGATTACCTCGGTTTATCGAAAATTTACCTAAATTTGGGCGCCCCTAATCGAGTTTCCACAGTTGAAGTCCATCCTCGGAGATTAGCACTTACTGCAGCCTGCCTTCAGCTTCTCCCACGCACACTTCGGGTGTAGAATTGATCTCAGAAGCGGGGAAAGGTTTCATAACCAAGCAAGACAGATCATTCTCGGGATTGAAGACGATGATGGGGTCGCCATTAGAAAGCCAAAAAATGACTCCTTCAACAATGGCACATCCCTTGTGCTGCAAATTATGCGCAAATCTCTCAAGATTTTGTCCATGCTTTTGTTCGTGATGAATATATGTTAAAAGAGAAGTCAACGTCATCTTCATCTAGATCTCTTTCATCAAAGTATGTTTGGCAAACTGTGACAACCTGAAAATCAGTGGAAACATCTATCCGCTTTTGAAGGGCTCAAATATAGCGTTGTGTTAGTCTTTCGGAGAGTATGCCACTGCAGAGTTATCCACTCTCTGTTCAATGGATTGCAGACATAAACCACTGGTTCAAAATAAGGGAAACTTTTAGGACAACAGATAAGTCAATTGCTTGAGGACATGAAAACCATAGGAGAAAGTTAAAGAATACCTTTTTCAACTTTGGCGAAAGTCCCTATCCACATTCATTGATGGATTTAATTACTCGGGTGGACCCGAATTACTAAATCCGATAAATAATGGATAAAAAAAGTCAATGAATATGTATCGCAGGGACAATTTTCGTATTGATAGTCTTTTAATTTGTAGGAGAATTACAAGGAATATTTGATATTTAGACAAGGTAGTAGATGTCCTCAACAAGACAATGATCCCCTTTTTATACTAGCTAACCTCCCAACCGTTCACCCTATTCTTATGGGGCGGTTGGATCGCGGTTTGACCGAGTCCACGCGAGGACCCGGGGCAGCCTTGCCCCTGGGTCGAGGTAGGCCCCAGCCGTGGGCGACGGGTTGAAGTAGACTCCCGCCGAGGTCGACCTTGGCCGGGCCGCGGGAGTCCCCTAGCCGAGGCCTTAGTCAGCCCGTGCCGGGGCCGCCCTTGGCCAATCATTATTGTGTGGACCATATTTTGTATACTGTAAAATAATGTATATTCAGTACAAAAATAATATACATTCAGTATAAAAATAATGTACATTGTATTCAGGGGATGTACATTATTTTTTTACTGAGTGTACATTATATTGTATAATGTATATTCAGTATATTAAAAATGTACTTTTTGTTATGGTCCACGTAACAATGTATGGACCATGGTCCATACAATAATTTGCCGCCCTTGACCCCTTTCACCACTCCCAAGCCCGTTCCTAATATATCCATCATCAGTCCCCCACTCATTGAGTTGCGAGTCGTCGTCAATGAAGGAAAGTAGCCCGAGTCGAAGGTCGACCCCAAGCCCACGAGAAGACGTCCGCCCCACCTCCTTCCTCTTTGGCCAACTTTGGTGTGATTCCATCGCGATCGGGACTTCTTCTCTTCCGCATTCCTCTTTGGCCGACTTTGGTGTGATTATTTATTCCTCTTCTTCTTCTCTTTTTATTTAAATTCATTATAACATAATTATTTATCTAGTGATAAAATACTAATATTATATATCAAAGTTTTCTTGCCAATTACCATGTAATGTGATGAAATTTTGGTTATCATACTAAATGGATGGTCATAGATTTGAATATGGGGTTTAGATTTTTTGAATCGAAAATGTTTTAGAAAGTATAGATTCTTAACTTGTAAAGAATGATGAATATTTTTTAAAAGAAAAAAGTTTTGAGTTAATTCTATTTTTGGTCCTAGATTTATAGGTGATAGTCCACTTTTGGTCCGTTTTTATTAGAACATTTTCATTTGGTCCTAGTATTTATTGTGACATGAGCATTTTTGGTTCTCCATTAAAAAAAAGATTAATATTTGATGCATCGTCGGTGTATAGATGCTATACACCAACGGTGGATGAGGAAGTGACACATCATTAAGAAATAAAATCAATATTAATTAGGTCTTTTTTTGCAAAATATCTCAGACTTAAATGTTTTTAGGAAACTCTTTTTTTTTTTTTTTTGCAATAAAATACAAGGACATTTTGATCTTTTTATACAAAGTAGGTTAACCTGCCATATTTTTTAAGTTTTTTTTTTTTTTGAAAAAAATCAAAATTGAAGACTAAAAATGTTCGTATTTTGACAAAATTTAAACTATTTTGTTAACAAAGAACTACAAAATTGTATATCACAATAATATTAGAACCAAAAATAAATATTTAAAAAAAAAAGATTAAAAATAGACTGCCAACTATAAATCAATGAACAAAAATAGAATTAAGTCAAAAGTTTTCTTACTAGAAACGTATTTTAAATTGGCGACTTGGATCCACTGAAATCCCTAGATTGATGGCCAGCGAGGCTTGTAGCTAGCAAGGTGTCAAAAGGAAAGGATGGATAGATCGATGGCTGGACGTAACAGGCAAACGTGGCATCTCGTCGTTCGGCGGTGGCATTCAGGGCGGTTGTTGAAAATTGAAAACGATAACTTTTCTTGTACCATAAATATCGATCCATCTCCAAGTCCACTGCATATATGCAAACAAATTAAAAGGAAGATTGTAAAACGCAGTGAAGAAAGAAGCAAAATGCAGTCAGCAAAAGAGACAGCCTCCAACGCCGCCGCAACCGCCAAGTCCGGCATGGAGAAGACTAAGGCCTCCGTCCAAGAAAAGGTATGGAAATACTGCGATTTTGAATGGTTTAGACATTTGATTAATTAATTTTTGTGATTATTAATTGTAGGCAGAGAAGATGACAACCAGAGATCCGGTCCAGAAAGAGATGGCGAGAGCGAAGAAAGACGAAAGAAAGCGCGAGGCGGAACTGGATAAACAGGCTACGAAAGAGCAAAATGCAGCCTCTAAACAGGCGGCAGCGGCCGGTGGAACTCCGGCCTATACCACTGCTGCTGAAGGCGGAGTGTACGACCCGGATGTTGCCGGCGCCCGCCATGGATCCGGCACTACCTCTGTACTGTAGGGATCAGTACGTTACGTTGTGGTTCAAATAATAATGTTTTTGTTTATCAAACACAAACTGTACTATGTACTATGTATTCCAAATAAGACAAGACTCGTAGTGTAATTGTATGCTCGAATGTTTTTTGGGGCATACCATACGCTAATATAACGAATTAGTACTTTTTTTTTTCTGCCATTATATTAATATCAAAAAATCAAATGTATTAAATTTTATTTTTATTTTTAACATATATTTTCATTATAACAACTAATCATCAATATTAGTAATCATTATAATTTTATTTCATTATCAAAGATGCAAAATATTTTTATCAAAATTCATTATTATTATCAAGAGATTTTCACATGTCACATCATGTAGCTTTGACCGTGCTGCAGCAAGCTAAGCTAAGCTAGGATTTGGCTGGTTCAACATTATATTAGATTTCCTGTAGCCACTAAAAATGATTCCATTTTTATTTTTAGTGGTGTTCTAATCTTCATGAAGATCTTCTACACTTCCAACATTATATTGTTACAATTAATAATAATAATTATTATTATAATAAACCTCATCGATCATCTTCTGTGGGTGATTCTGCATGTCATTTGAGTCAAGAACGTGGGCATTTGCCCATTGCTCGCTCAGCTAGTCAGCTCACATGTCATTTTATTCTATCATTAAATAACCTACCTATATATTTAGGGCAAATTATGTTGTGCAATTGTGTGCACACGGAATTAGATTCATAATTTCTATACTATAAATTCATAATTATTGAATTTTATATTCACAATTATAAAATTTTATGTTCATAATTTTCAATGTTCATATTCAACAATATTCACAAATCACTAAATTATATGTTCATAATTTGATAACTATACAGTATATTTGAATCTGCAGTACTACAGATATTATGATTCTGCAGTACAAATATTATGAATCCAATTTCGTGTACACATTGCATGGTGCATACGGTTGCATAGCATAACGCTCCTATATCTAGCTTTAGGCAATGGTGCATACGGTTGCATAGCATAACGCTCCTATATCTAGCTTTAGGACTAAAATTAGTTTTGGACTTTATATTCTCCCAAAATGTTCTCATATATATCTAGCTTAGAGGACTAAAATTAGTTTTGGACTTTATATTCTCCCAAATTGTTGAATCCTCACCTCAGTCTGACAAAGCATATGAAATGATGTAAATTATGGTAACTCAGCTGAATCACAAAGATTAAATCTTTATCTATTGCGCACAAAGAGCTCCCTCACCACAGTCTCGTTGGTGAGACTTGATCACTTATCATTCTTCATAATTTTTATCTCTATGACCAATTGAGTTGCGCATGCAAATTTTATATGTATGCGTGAATCCACATACCAAGTTACCAACTAATATAAGTAAGAGACCTACAGTATATTATTTCAAAAAAAAAAAAAGAAAGAAAAAGACCTACAGTATATTAATTATTAGTATGATGATGATGATGATGATGGGGTGGCGGGTGGGAGGGGGGTTGGTATAGCGCATGTGCTAAATCCACGTGATGATCAGATAGGCAAGCTAGGTATGTAGCTTATTGTAAAAGAAAAATTAAAGCTAAGGTAATTAATTGGAAGGTGAGGATTATTGCAATGAAGTCAGGGAAGTATAACGCATCGGATCCGATCGGTTCAGCTTCGCATGCATGATCACTTGTCTCCCCGTCCTCCAAGTACAAAACTTTTAGGTCGTGTTTGTTTTGCTTATTTTTATCATGTTTGTTTGCTTAATATATATCTGTTCAATATACTTTCTTCATCAATGGTACATGGCTCAAAAGATCAATACCTCACCACAAGTTTGATAAATATAAATTTGTTTCAAGTAGTTGCATAAGCATATCGAGCTTCCGACTTTGCAATTACAGTAACTGTTCCAATCTGATTCAAATAAGACAACTTTTGGAACATATATTAGAAATAGTTATTAAAAAAAGAATGCATGTGGCGGCATGCAGGGCAACTTGAAGCAGGTTAGTAACTTACCCATACATAAAATTAGAAATTAGCTAGATTAAATTAAAGATGATGGGATGGGTGGTCATGCATGCTGCACGTGCATGTAGCAAGCAAATCAATGGATGCATGTTACCTTACTATAAATAATTAATCTACACTTCATCTATATATCTCTCCCGCCAAGCTAAGCTAAGCTGCTCATCACCGAACCCATCTTTTTGGGCTCCGATCCTCTCATCTGATTTCATATATATCTATGAAGATCAGCAATAATTACACAGGTTTTGCCATTTCTTATTTACTTTTGCTTCATATATTCGTCATCATCTTCTGGTGTTCGTATGCTACTCATCATGATGACCACTACCGACACAAGAATCTTCCTGCGACAAGAAAATTGATGATTATGCAACCTGCAAGTTCCATTACTAATACCTTTCAAAGAAGCAGTAGACAAAAGGGGGCGAGGAGTGGAAGATGGAGATCAGGCAAGAAACAGGGCAAGAAAGCTGTGGACCAAAGCCTTAGGAAGGCGCCGCCCAGCGTCCCTAATCCTACCCAGAATTGAACTTGCTTAGCTAGAGCTAGCTACAGCTATATATATATATATATATATATATATATATATATATATATATATATATATATATATATATATATATATATATAGCTAATGGTTAGCTTAATTTTTGTATAAAATATACTCCCTTGTTATTGTTTCTTGCGTTTGTGTGGATAGTTGGGAGTTCAACTATACATCATGTTTGGTAACATAGTTAGTTTATCAGTTAATTTTAACTTATTTAATTTGATCACTATTAACTGTTTGACTGGGTTAAATGTTTGATTAATTAGTTTTTTTTTGTAATTGTTTATTGCTCCAAAATGTTAAAAGTCAACAAGTTGATCAAAATCGTTTTTTTCGATCAGCTTCAAAGTCATTTTACATATCAGTTATTAACAGCTCATTTACCAAACATGTTTCTACAATCAGCTAATGTTATCTGTTAATGAAATTCACTAACAGATATTTACCAAACACCGGTGAAATCTGCATTAGGTACTAGAAAGATAAAAACAAAGCTCAGATCAGATGAGCCCATTAATTGCATTCTCTGAAGTCTGATCTGGTCTGGATGGTTTGCAGTATACATACCACTCTTATGTCTGTTTAATTTCTTGCTGGGATGCTCCAATCCCAACTACATTTGGTAATTTGGTGCAGTGGATGGATCGGAGTCGAGCATACAACTAAGCACACATACATATACATAATTTAATATATATCAGCTCATGTGAGTTCATTTAATTAATTCATATATGCAGTACAGTACAGTTAATATTCGTTATAAATGTATAAAGTTTGATATTTGTCACATATGCACATAGATATAGAATTGTGGTCAAATAACATATTTTTTACAAAACAAATGCATTTTAAATCTTTCAATTATACAATTTTAATCATTTCAGTTAATGTCTAAAACTTGTAAAATATAACCCTTTTTTATTAAAAAAAAATTACAACAAACAAAAAAATATTCCATAGTTGCTAGAAGATAAAGATTAAAACAATTAAGCGCTACATAAGCCTCCACAAAGCCATTATAGAGCATAATATATATAAGCAATAAATGTATATATATAGTCCAATTATTACTTTATACTTTTAGTTGAGATAAAATATATCATTCATTTTAACATAAAAATCAACCACAATTATATCTACGTGTTGACTGTTGAGTGCGATCTATTAAAAAAATAATGGATCCATATACGTGAGGGGAGCATAATATATATATATATATATATATATATATATATATATATATATAAACAAAGGGAAAATTGTCAAATCATACACAATATGATAATTAGGGCGCCCTGAACAATAATTACAAGTTACAATCTAATGTGGAGCGCTAACGTGAGTGGGGGCATTTGAATTTGTGACCTCCCATTTGGAAGATTCACATAGATGCTATTGAGTTACAAGCTACTTGACAACATGTATAATTTCAAAGAGTGCGGACAACAAGACAACGACGACGGGATGACAACAACGATAAACACATATCTGAAGTGGTTAATTGGATGATTACATGTAAAAAAAAAAAGGTATAAAGGACTTGGATGCAGAGTTTCAAAGAGTTTGAGTATGTAATTGAATGTTTTTTTAAAGTTTGAAGATCTTAGTATTTTTCAGCAATAGTTAGTGAGTCTATTTAACATTTTTCTTTATAAATAAATATATAGTCTAATTACACTACTTTTAGTTTAGACGGACTACATCTTTCAATTTTTATACTATTAACAAGGCGTTTGGTTCACTGTAATTCCGTTGTAGTTGAATTGCAATTCAATGGATGCCTCAATTACCATACATTGTTTAGTTGGAAGGAGGAAAAACAAATGAAATGACACTACTACCCTTAGTTGTTATTACTATTATTATTACATAAGGTTATTTTAGTCTTTATACCACTTCTTTCCTTCTCAACTCCAAAATTCTATTTCTCCCTACCAAACAATGTAATTTGAATTCATACTTTATTACCACCTTATTCTTTTCCCACCGAATTACAATTCATTTCCCCCCTAATTCCTTCCTTTCAACCAAACACCCCGTTAAGATATTAGAAACAAAAACAGTTTAGGGCGTGTTTGGAAACCAGGAAAATGTTTTCTAAAAAATGACACATTTTTCAGAAAACATTTCTATTTTTGATGTTTGGTTTGCATTTTACAAAAACTATCTTGGTGTGTTTGATTTATTTTTCAGAAAATGAGCGAAATTGTATCATTAAACATTTAATTGGTTTGTTTAGAATATAACAACTTTTATAATAATAATAATAATAATAATAATATAAATGGTGGTAATAGTGGTGTGGTAGCGTGGGTGGTGGGAGTGATAGTAGTAGTGGACTAGTGGTGATAGTGGTAGTGTGGTGGTGGTGGTGTTGGTCTTGGTGTTTGTAGTGGTAATGGTGGTGGTGGTGGTGGTGATAATGGTGGTAAAGTGATGGTAGTGGTGTTATTTGTTATATAATAATAAGTGGTGGTTGTAGTGGTGGCGGGGATGGTAGTATAGTGTGGTGGTGGCAGCGAAGACGATAGTGACGGTGGTGCAAAAATTGAAAAATAAAATTCTCCTAAAAAAGAGTGAGGTTATTTCTAAAAAACATTGAAAATTTTTTCGTTTCACCAAACACTCATTTTCCCTAGAACTACATTTTACACTCTTTACTAAACATTTAAAAATCATTTTCTATGTACCAAACATACCCTTACAAGAAAAATATTCAAATAAATGAAATAAAATAAAATTTCCAAAAAATAAAACAAAAAGCCTCTTAATATGGAAACGACAACATTGCCCTTGCCCCAATGCCCCCATTCTGCTAAAACCTTTCCGTCCAAAACCCCTTTCTGGAGTTTATGGTCCGATAGAGAGCTCCTTTGACAGCCGCCACCGGAGCTCTGAGCACTTGTCCTCTCCCCGACAAAACCCCGTCAAAAGCTACGGTAAGCTGCTTCTTCAAAACCTCGATTGATTGATTATAGCTATATTTACCTTTTTAAAACTCAATCTTTCATGTTCTCAGTTCATTTCTCGTTTCCTACCCTGCACATTTCAACAAAATCTCCATGACCCATTTACAGAAACTCAGAGTTTCACCTCTTCTCAAATGGTTTTCTTCTTTCTTTGATTACCATTTCGGGTATACAACTCCGACCCTTTGGCTTCCTGGGTCAGCCCAGGTCGCTCAGAGTACTAGGTTTTATAGAACCAAAAAGAACGCTCCAATTCTTGAGAAAACCCCCCAATTTCCTCTCGCCGTCAGGCAAGAGGCCCAGGCTGCTCTTACAGAGTACCTGCATTCCACCAGAAGCTTGCCGTTTTCCGATGCTGAGCATATAAGTAGGAACTCACCGCATTTTCTTGAAAGGTTGTTGAAGAGGGTAAATCCTGACAAGGAAGTTTCGCGATCTGTAGTGCGGTTCTTGAGGTACCATCCTGTTAATGAATTCGAGCCCTTCTTTGAGAGTGTGGGGTTGAGCCCTTCTGAGTACTTGCCGTTTCTGCCTCCAAAGATGATGTTCTTGAATGATGATAAGTTGTTGATGGAGAATTATCATGTTTTGTGTAACTATGGTGTTGCGAGGAATGAGATAGGAAATATTTACAAGGAAGCTCCTGAGGTTTTTAGATATAGCCCTGGGTTGTTGAGACTAAAGCTTCAATCTTTCGACGAGGTTGGCCTACATCGGATTACTGTGGCTAAGATTATTTGTTTGAGTCCTCACCTTCTGACAGGCGATGAGAATAAAGATTTCTTTACTGTTCTGAAGAAGTTAAAGAGTTCTGGAGTCGAGACTGGAACCGAGTGTGAATGGATTCAGGGGCAAATATCGAAGGGTAACGCTCATAACTGGAGGCATGTATGTGAAGCGATGTGTATGTTGTGTAAGTTGGGTTCCCGTGAAGAGAAATTGAGAAAGATCATATGCCAGAATCCAGAGCTTTTGTTTGAGACCTCGGGGCATACTACTTTTTCACTAATTGGGTTCTTGTTGAAATTCGGATATGCACAGCATGATATGCAGAACGTGTTTCTGCAGCTTCCAAAAAATAAAGTTGGGAACTTTATTAGGAATCTACGCAGCTGTTATATTTTCTTGGTTGAACTTGATATGCATAGCCAAGATATAGGGAATATTGTTCGTTCACACCCTGTGCTACTGGGCTCGTGCTCTTTGAAGAAAGCAGTTACCTTGCTTACTAACCTAAGATCTGGGAAGAAGAGGATTTGTAAAATGATCTTGACGGATCCTCATGTTTTGAAGAAATGGGTTGTTGGTATAAGACTCGAACCACTTCCGTCAACAGAGGAGGATTTTAACTCAAAATTGATGAAAACAAAGTTCTTGTTGAGTCTGGGGTTTGTTGAGAACTCGAGTGAATGGGAAGAAGCTCTCAAGGCATTTCGAGGCAAAGGATTGGAGCTTCAAGAGAGATACGACTGTTTAGTGAATTCCGGTTTGAAACCAAAGGAGGTGGCTAAGATGGTCAAAGCAGCTCCACATATTCTCAACCAAAGTAAAGAGCACATTGAAGCAAAGATTGATTTTCTCACAAACACCTTGGGCTATCCAGTGTCTAGTTTAGTTGCGTTTCCGTATTATATCTCATACACATTCGAGAGAAGCACACTTCGGCTTTCAATGTACAATTGGCTGAAAGAACAAGGGAGAGTTGGTCGAAATTTGGCCTTGAGCACCATTATAGCTTGCTCAGACAAAATATTCATAAAGACATATGTGAATCCTCATCCCGGTGGCCCTGACATTTGGGAAAAGCTGAAGAAACAAGTGTATCCAGATTGATCAAACTGTTATTACTGTAAGAATCCATCTAACAGATGTCTACACGCTAGATTGATGTATGATAGATACCCCCGCTAAATCTGAAATGCAGCATTCTTTTTAATTTTTGTGTCAAATTTTCCTGGCATTTGATTATCCAAAGAGATCATTTCAATATATGCATATTCCATAAAGTTATTAGTCATTTGCTTTCTATGCCTATTGCTTAATTCTTTTCCCCAGAGACTATACAGTCATATAGTTATGCTGTGTCTGACACTCCTCATTTGCTTGGTGGAAGGAGATAGAAATGTCTGATAGCTTACCTTTCTACTTCTGCTGTGTTCTTGCTGTCTTAACTTTTTAGTGGATGAATTTTAAATGAATTTCATAAAATCTCTTTTAACTTTTAAAACTTTATAAATGTCCTATGATAAACATTTAAAAAAGTTTACTAAAGTCATTAACTCTAAATTGAATATACTTTTACAAACATATAAAATCATTTAACTTATATTGATACATACAAACTATTGGATTAACGTTATTATTTTTGAGTTTGTCATACTTCATTCAGTTTTTACGTACTCCGTAAGAAATAATTAATATAGAGAGCAACCCCAACCAAGTTGGTTACAAAATTGACCTAATAACAATAAGGAGTTAATACCGCTAGTGGTCCTTCTAGTATTGCGCTTTTACCAACAAACGAACTCCGAGTATAAAATGACCAGCAAACATCTTCGAGTATCAAAAAGTGACAACCCGTAGTCTTCTGTTAGCAAATGTGTGAAAGTGGCGTTAAATTGAAGGGTAAACTGAGTGAGTTGTAAATGTAACGCCACTTTCATGCCTTTGCTAACGGAAGACCACATGTGGTCATTTTTTTATACTCGAAAGACATTTACTGGTCGCTTTTTGATACTCGGAGGACGTTTGCTGGTCATTTTATACTCGGAGAACATTTATTGGTAAAAGCACAATACTCGAAAGACCACTGGAGGTATTAACTCTAACAGTAGGTTCCAAGTTTCAGTCTCTATGGGGCTGTTTATTAGATTTTTTATTTAAGTTAGTCAACTATAGACAACTTATGCGAGTTTACCTCCTTGTGATCTTTTGTCTGTTAGGGTCACAAGATAGTTTTCACCCAAAACGTACATTTGTGAAGGGGTTATAGACCCATAAATAAAAGAAATAGTGAATGTGACACAATTTCACGCATTTGGAAGAGCATTGGTTATAACTTGTCACAAATAAGTTAACCACTCCATAAATATCATATGTACGTATGTTATAAAATATTTCAAGGATAAGGTGAAATTATATTATATGTTTTGTTTGTGTATATATGATATAAAATTTAATGTATTTTTTTTTTTTGAAAAGAAATTTAACGTATATAATTTTATGAAGTATTGAAAAACACTTACGATGTTGTTACGTATAATATTGTACAAATTTTATTCTTAATATATCTTTATGATGACCAGGACTATGTGGTCCAATGGTACCCGGGTTGGACTTCCATTTGGAAGATTATGAGTTCGAGCCTCAGTGGAGGCGTTATTGGTTCTTTGTGTTTCAGTAGGTTGAGAAAGTATATGAACAGATACTACAATGTAATAGAGCCAGTAACTTTCAAAAAAAAAAAAATATCTTTATGATGTTGGATTAGATCTTATAGTTTTAAGATTCCAAGTGTTCTATAGTATATTCATGGATTCAATCATGCATGAAACTACATACTCATTTATAAATGCTTTAATCCTTCGACTGATCTTTTAATTTCAACAATCATTTCAAATCAATCAATCTCTAAATGGCAAATTATTGTATGTACCATGGTCCACACAATATTATATGGACTATAACAAAAAGTACATTTTTAATATACTAAATGTACATTATTGCAATTGGATACGGTTGGATATTTAATCCAATGGGATACGTGGTTTCATTTATTATATTCTGTGGGAGACTATGTTTCTTTCTGCTTTATTTATTTATTTACTTTTATTTTTTGGAGTATGAATCGCACATGCCTGTATTTTCTTGCTAAAATAATAAAAAGAATATTACTAGTACTCCTAAATGTTACTTCCTTCATTTTACACCCTGCTGCGGTGGACTCTGACATGACAATAACACATACACAATCCATCAAGGTTAACGAGTTAGAATTCTAAATACAAACATAATTTCTGAGTGGATTGACGCGATAGACACATTTAATTAACCGATTTTAGGTCTATATGACATGATAACTTGTTAAACATGCATGTTAATATAATTTACTTTTTAGAAAATAAAACTTTAGAAAAAAACTCTTTTTTTTATTATAAATAAATTAAATATACAATTAAATTCAAATAAAATAGTAAAAATATTTCATTCATAACATATCATAATATATAAAAACATACAATAGTATTCATTAAATGATAAAATATTATTTGGATTGACCGGTGAAGACAAATTTTAATGGGTTCTTAATGGCCAACACATTAATGACCCAAGACACGGTACAAGTAAACGTTAACCTATTATTTTTGCGTCCGATTTTATATAGTGTTAACAGGTCATGTCACAAATTGTTAGATCTAGTACGTGCAAATAAGATTTATTTGTTCATCTTGAATGACTCAATGTATTATATTGAATCGAAGTGACTTAGCTTGTAACATGATGACGTATTTTTTATATTTTGATAAAATATGAACAATAACTATTGTACATTATGAATTTTCAAAGTATAAAGTTTTATTATTTCAAGAATCAAGACAAATAATGTTATTCCCTTTAGTAAATGAATTTTTAAATTTAATAGTTGGATATGACATGGTATTGGAAAAATGTTGAATTTAATTAAAATCGAATAATAATAAGAATTGGTCATACTAAAAGGACAATTTAATCTTAATCATACTAAAAAGACAATTAATCCCAACCTTACACCACTACATGTGGTCCGCCAATTAGTGGATTTTGTTCTTTCATCTAGTCCTACCTTATTAGTTATTAATATCTAAAATCAAAATTAAACTAAATCATAAAACATAATTTATTTTTTGATAGTATATTTTTCTTTTAAAAATTCATGTAAAACTATAAATAAATAAATCAGTAAAATTAATACTGTAAACATGAATCAAGTATTCAAATTGAATTTGATGGAGTTATATGGTGAGTCTATTGGTACTATGGCCTAGAATCGACTACATCTGGATACTTCTCGATCTTTGGGGTTGGTGGATCAATCACGGAGACTAGACGTTGTCGACAAACAGGTTATCTTCACTATCACTACTCTAAGCATCATAACAAGGCGTAACACGTGTCACGACTGACTTGTGCCACCAATGTAACAATGCACCGCTTCGTCGAACCTATTAGCGAGATTTCAACATGTGTACTTATTTTGATACTATAAATAGAGATTTTTTTTTTTTTTTTTTCAAAATTGTTGAGGAATTAATTTACTAGTTTTTTGTCATTTTTTTTCCAACAAGGAGAGAGAACGGGATCAAGGAGGGGGGGGGGGGGGGGGATAGAATACAAGTAATTTTTAAAAAATGTTATTAATGCGTGCACGCAAGGCGCACTGATATTTTTTTTACAGGGTCCACGTCTCTACGAAAAGTCCATTTCTTGCACATCTATTTTTCTTCGCTCTCTTCCATTTTCTTCCCTCCACCTCACACTCTCTCCCGTCCATCTAAAAAATTCAACCTAAAAAAACTTATTGTGATTGTTCTAAGAACTTTAAAATGATCAATAATACACTTTAAGTCATATCTCATTGAAAATTTTATTCTACATAAAATATATTACATAATGTATAAGAACCGGACCTAATAATACTATCAAATTTAATTGCTCTTATCATTTTCTAATTGTAGCATTGGGTCATAAAAATGTACTCTTGCATAGTTGCAGACAAGCCTTATTCGAATAAATTAGACTTGGATTCAAGTTATTTATAATTTATTTATTTTTGTAAGGAAAAATTGCATCTTTAGTCCCTGAATTATAATTTATAACCAAGTTTCGACTCAGTTCTTAAGTTATGACCGTATTCGAATTTAGCCCCTCAGTTATGAATGAAGTGGCAAATTTAGTCTCTGACGCTAGTGGTGTGTTGACAAAGTTAATTCCAGAGATAAAGAAGTAAATTCCTTAATAAAACTTGTAAACTTAGCCAAAATACTTTTCCCCAAATCCACAAAAGCCCTAAGTTGCTTATGTAATCAGCGAAGAAATCCTACACCCCTTTTTCTAAAAATCAAATTTCAATTCTATTTTTTTTTTTTTAAAAAAAAAAAACTTAAATTACAATTTTTTGACAAATACAAAAATTTGCTCCATAACATGGACAAGCTTGGTATCTTTCCTCTCGATTAGCATAACTCCATGACATTTTGATGGGTAATAAATCATCACGTCTACATAAAAAATTATCTCCAAATTGGGAAAAAGATGAAGTAGTACCACAACTAAGATATGACATCCTATAATTAATGGCTAAATTAGTTCATCAATACAGAGAATATTGATTATTTATTTAAACGTATAAAATAGAGAAATAACTTACCTGTGAATTTCGCAGCTTGGAAGTGCACGAATTTTAGATTTCAAGCTTGGGGAAGAAAAAGACCTTCGATTATAGGTATAAGAAGAAAAGAATGACTGTTGCGCAATGTGTTTCAACATAGAAGGGGATTATAATTTGAAATTCATATTTTACCCTTCTATTATTAAATTGTTTTAAAGTTTTCCGTTAGCTGCAGACGGAGTATTAACGCTAGGGATCAAACTCGCCACTTCGCTCATAACTGAATGACTAAACTCGGATACGACCATAAATTAAGGATTGAGTCAGAACTTGGTTATAACTCAGGGACAAAATATGCAGTTTCCCTTTTTGTAATATTAGACTTAATATTATGAAATTATATATATATATATATATATATATATATATATATATATATATATATATATATAATAATAGCCAATAAAATTATGCCTATAACGGGAACTAAAAAATGTTCAGTCCAATTGTTTATTGAAATGAATAGTTCATATTATTTTGATTTTAGTATTTTTAAATTATTTTTTCTAATTTACCCTCAATTATATCAATTACTTTTTATAGATACCCCAACATTCTGTCAGTGTAAATTTTAGTAACAAAATATTTCGTTAACTATTTATTATTTTTAACTTACTCATTAATTTTCATGAGGAATGTCTTAGGTTCGAATCCATCCCAATTAGAGTTAGCATAATTGTTGAACATATACTATGACCATGTTAGAGTGTATTTATATAATGATACAATTGTACAATACTTTACAAATATTGTACGATTATTTTTTTATTGGGCAAGTGTGAAATAATTTGATCCATCCATCTAGGATGATAAATGGCTAAAATATGATGGGGTCTTCTTTTTGCAAACTAGCACCAGTCATCCAATTGTATATGAGACACTACCAACAACAACAACAACAACAACAAAAAAAAAAAAAAAAAAAAGCGGACAAACAATTAAGATGAAGACCATGATAAACCTATCCAAAAACAAATTAACAAAACTTAGAGTAATTCTAACAAAAAATAGTATGTACTACCTAATACCATACCAACTAAGTACTTAGATAATTGTGTTTAAAAAAATATAAATTAAACATTAATTTTATGTCAACTATAATAAATTTCTCATATATAATATTGTGCTGATATACTATGAATTACTTATTTAAATACAAACATTGGATATTAAATCAATCGCGCAATGCGCAAGTAAAACTAGTAATAAATTATATAAAGTTGAATAGAGGGAGTTCAATATTGTAAAAATATTATTCTTTCTTAATCCAAATGAGATTTTCTTCCAAAATAAAATAATCCAAGTTAATGAATAAAAAATGGAGCAAGAAAAATATTTCTTTTATTTTATTTTATAATTTTAAGAATAATATTAATAATAATTTATGCATTCTTCTTCCCCAATTCCCATTTTGCCATCCAATCCTTCATTTACACATTACCCTAATTTCCCAAACAACCCACACATAAAATAAAAAAATTCACCATTTTACCACTACTACTACTACTTACACTGTCCTATTTTTCTCTTCTCTTGTACTCCTTTGCCTCAGTTTTCTTGAATCTCCTCTTAAGCCTGGTATCATGGTACCCATTTATCTCTTCAAATCTATACACAAAAGCTAAAATCTTTCATCCTTTCTCTATTGTTTTCTGATTTGGGGTTCTCTATTTCTCTCCCGGATCAGTTATTTAAATCTCTTCGTCACTCACAGCACTCTCTCGTTTGCTTTTATTGATACCAAAAGCAAAAAGGAAACATTCTGATTATTGTGATTTCACTGGTTTTACTCGTAGTTTGAAACATTGGCGTTGGTTAAAGATTGAACTGTTGGCTATTTCTTGAGAACTCGGCTTTGTTTGGTATGTTTTCTCTGTGTTTCTAGTCCCAAAAAGCATCAAATATGTATGTTTGTCATACTTCTTCGTGTGGGTTTATTGAAAGATTGAATCTTTTCATAGTTTATTGAATTTCAGTTCCTGTGAACTTCTATATGAACACTCCATTTGTCTTGCCTCTGAGTGTTTACCAGTAAACCTTTTATTCTGTGATCGATATTCTAGATTTGTTTTGCACTAATGAGTTTGGATATTGAGATTCCGTGATGTTGATTTATGGCCATATGATACTCTGTTGTGCTGCTTTTTAGCTGTTTGATTATTTAGAATTTGTATAATTTGAGAAAGGTTGTTGTTTCATTGAATGTTCTTGTTTGTTTTGGATAGGTATGATTCTCTTGCACTATTTCTGTTTTTGTTTTCTTCCGTTAGGTTTTAAGGATTTGCTACATGTGTTTAATTACAATGTTACTTTTTTACTAGAACCCTCTTCCTTAGAACTGCTTTCCATGATTTGAAGTATTTCTTTCCCATTTGTTCAACATTGAAAACTAATGGATTCTTGAGTTTTATTCAGTTGCTTAGTTCTAGTATTCAAAGGGGCTCTGATACAAAGCTATGCCTGTCTTGTTCTTTTTTGGGTGGTAGAAATCTTTTTTGGGAGTAGAGTTTCTGGATCTGGACAATGGGCAGAGGAAGAGGAAAGGGAAAGAAACACTCGGTGCGTGAGGATCTTGGAAGTGGCGAAGAAGAGAAGAATCCGCCAGTGAGGAGAAGAGGAAGACCAGTGAAACCAGTGAAGGATGAAATAGAGGAAGAGGATGAAGTTGAGAAGGTTGTTGAAGTCGAAGAGGATGGTGACAATATGAAAAGCAACATCTTGAGCAAAGATATCAAGAACCAAGCTGCTGAGAATGGCAAGAAGAGGAAGCGGTCATCATCACAAGTGAAGGAGAACGGGGACTCAACGAAGGAGGAAAAAGGCCTGGGAACTAAAACTAACGCCAATGACTTAATAAAGTCAGTTGGGTTCAGACAGAACGGGAGCAGAAGGAAAAGCAAGCCCCGACGGGCAGCTGAAGTTGGTTTTGAGTGCAGATGAACTTTCTGTTGGCTATTCATAGACGATTCCATGTTTTTCTTATATATGCTTTTCTATATTCCTTTTGTCATATATTCTCGATTTTGAAAACCCCATTTAGAGGCTTCTAAAGGATTGATTTTTGTAAAGAATTTGCAGAGTCTTTACTCTTCCTAAATATATTGTTGCTAGATTCTCATTTTTTCTTCTCCATTTTGTTTTTGGTTATGCATAGATATTAAAAGCCAGAGTATTACATCTTTATGGTTTTAAGTCACAAAAATGTAATGTAATTCTCTAGGCATGAATCTATTTAAGAAGCCTGTGCTACTCTACTGGTCAAAGGCTTTAAACGAAAACCTATCATCGATCATGTCTAACAAATACAGAAGCAAGGATTCATAGGAGGTGCTTATTCGGAGTCCAAGGTAACTAATAGATTCCTCTTCCTTTTGTTACTTAGTTATTGCTACTTCAGATTATGTTGCACCTTGGGAAAACTGGAAGCGTTTTCCATGATTTTGTTGCTCACTGACTCACTGTCTGCATTTGTAAATGGAGAACGAAACATTAAGAATTGAGGGTTTTTCTATTTTAATGTTTTTTAGCGATTTTCTTCCATTAACACCGTTCTATCCTAGAACTCTGAAATGTGTGCAGTGTAGAAACGTGAAGCTTGGGCATTAGCCTTGGAATCGAAAGTCACAACAAACAGGTGTGTAGTGGAAGTTGGCTTACTCTTTTGCATCTAGGCTATAATATTAATGAGCATATCACACAATATCTTTAGTCTTTCTGCATGGTTTTGCTTTTAGTCCTTTTCTTAAACCACTCCTTTGAAGTTCTTTTTCCACCAGTGGAGATGTCAGCTTCTGCAGCACTTCAACCGCCTTCACGCCCCGTAGTCCAAAAATAGGAAGAGGTCGGTAGAGTCTACAAGACAAGACAGACACGAAACGAAAGGAGAAAGAGTTAGGTGGTAGAACGAGGAAGAAGCGAGCAACTTTATATTTTTGGAGTACAGTGTCACGCGGGCGAGCAACACGGCATTGCCAACTAGGTTGTCTAACATGAATGTGTTATGCCCAAGTTTGAGTTGGTGTTGTAGTAAGTCTTGCATATAGACAAAAGTGGTTTGTTTGTTTTTGTTTTTTAGAATGTTTTTTTTGGGGGTTGCTTAGATGGTTAGGCTTTATAGTTTGCCAGCAAGGGAATATGCCCAAAACTTTAAAACGTGTAAATTGAGAAATAGACTGGTTTAGTAATTGTTGGACTTCTTTCTTGTACGCTGCTAGGATTTTAGGTTTTAATTACATGTTTTTGTTTTTGATGATGATAAGGTAGAGAAAAAAAGATCCATATCTTCCCAACTCCAACATCTATCTTTGACTTTTTGGTTTTTATTTTTTATTTTTTATTTTTTGGGTTTTGTTTTGATTATTCATTCAACCTTCATCAAAATAAAACAAAACGATAAATTGAAATAAATTCTTTTGACAATAATATATTTATAAAATGAAATAAATACGAGAAATAAAGAAAAGAATTGACTATATCCATTGGTTCAATAGACAGTATTTGGAAGAAGAGACCAAGATTCAAACTTCGGCAGCGGTAGTGTGGGCATCAACATTTGACGATGTCTGCTGAGCCAGTGAGTCTGGGTCGGGAATTCAACCTTATTGGTTGATTTATATTTTAAATTTTAATATGGTCCTAACGATTCCTATATTCGGTCTAAGTATATTCAACTTTTGTATGGCAACCCAAACTTCATCAAATCCACTTGGGCCTACAAATCTCCCAACAAAATCTTAATTTCTGTAGCTAATTAAATTTTGATATAAATCACTCCCGTTAAAGTTTCAATCGTTATATCCTACACCACGGCGCACATAGCACTGTGCGCCGCGCGCCTCCCAAAACGACGTTGTTTTGGGGTAGTGCTGGGAGGCGCGGTAGGAAGTTGCTGAGATTATGTGTATTTGTTCACAACGTTATGTGTATTGGTTCATACAGTTATGTATATTTTTTATACAATTATGTACATTCTTTTTATACAATTATGTACATCCGAATCAGAAAATTTGTGTGTATTATGTTAAGAGTTGATGTGTATTATGTTAAAAGTTTATGTTTATTATGTATTATGTTAGATTATGTGTATTATCTTTTAAAAAGAGTATGTATATTTGTTATATAATTATGTACATTCATGTATAACATTATGTGTATTCTAGTCTAACATTATGTACATTCTTGAACAGCGGGTTTTTTTTTTTAAGAAAAAACTACTGCCGTTCACTGGGGCGGGAAATTTCAAAAAAAAAATAATTAAAACGACGTCGTTTTGCATCTGGGCGCATAGTACAACGCGCGCCGTGGTGTGGGATATAAATTGCCTTAAAGTTTTATAACAAGCCAGAATAACTTAATCCAAATAATTAGAATGTTAATCTGTATTGGACTTACCCAATATAATTTTATATTTAATATATATGGATAAATAGATAGTTCAATTTTTTTTCTTCAGACAATATATACGCCCAAGACCGAAAGAGTGACTAAATGCGTGGAACATAATTCTTTATCTGAAAATTACAAACTTGATTCTTGTCAATAGCTTCCAAACAAGCCCGTTGCAACAAAAAAAAAAAAAAGTGATATATATTAATTTTCAATTTGAGAATTTTTGTCACTAAATTAATTGACAGGGACATGGGCATGAACATTGGAAGTATCCAAATCCAGTTGCTGTCACCATTATTGGGCTTTCTGCTTATGCATTTCTCATATTAAACTCCACCTCTGAAACATACCCAAATAATAATTGATAGTTGCTAAGGACCTTGTGATTCAATGACACCAACTTGCTCCTTACAGAGGAGGTTGTGGATTTGAGCCTCTGTAGAGGCAATATTGACTCTTTGTGCTTCATTTGGTTAAGAAAGTAGTTATTAAACAAATACTACATTGTAATAGAGTCAGTAGTATTCAAAAAATAATAATTGATAGACCTTTTTTACACCTAAAAATTTTGCTTTTTGATGTTATATTATTTATAAGCATTTTTAAGTAGGAAGAAAATATTACAATTGTGAAATTATCATATTAATTGGTCCAAAAATTGAAGTTAATTGAATGAAAACTGTAACAATGAATCAAATGTGATAATTTCAACAAAAATTTGAGACTAAATGGGATCAGACAAAAAGTAATTAAATGTGAAAATATTACGTACAAGTGAGATTTGATCACTTATTAATTATAACAATGTTTCCCCAAGGCCATGCAGACACTGAGGAGTAGTGCACAACTTGCACACACATGGCCCATGATTTCATGACCAATAATCTAAATTAACACCTTGGCTATAAATTTTTGATAATTTGGGTATAAACCTAAATTAACAACTTGGGTATAAACAAATTAGGAGGCAATAAACTTTAACCATTGAACAGAGAAATCATTTTGATTTTTAAAATTTGAGTTCTACTATATGTATTTCCAAATTTTACTTCCTTACTTATACTTCTTGATGTGTCAAACAAGGATTGGTTATTTTCATAATGTTATCGCACAAAAAAATGTCGATGAGAGAGAGTACAAACTGGGAGTACACCAACTATTTTTTTTTTAAATTTTTGGGTATAAATATCTTTTAAGACAAGAGTTGACAGGAATCAACTCAAATATAGCAGTATGCCAGCATGCTTCCACCAGGTTGTAAAGTACAGGTGGGTCCCTTTAATGTATGAAATACTTTTGATTACAAACTGGGAGTAGACCAAGTCATTTGATTAAAATTATTTAACATTTATTTTTTTTAATAATAATAAATTTATCATTAATATATACTCCGTACAAATTTGAACTAAAAGTTTTATATATATACAAAACACTATAGAAAATTATGCATTTAAAAATAAATTTCAATAAAACTCTTTGAAAGACAAACAACAACAACAAATCATTAGGATTGAATTGCTATAGGCAAAATTATGGAGAAAATGATAAAATTATAAAGTATTTGTAAATATAAAAGAAAGAAAGCTCAATATAAATGTCATCAAATGCAGCCCATCATTGCATTATTGCTTTCTCACAAATTATTTGATAAGTGCCTTATAACCTTATACTACCTACCTAGACAACATGTGAGTGAATATACAACATATTTATATTAAAAATATATCAAATATCTACAATAAATAATTTTTTTTTGAATGCACCTACAATAAAGAATTATTTCCACTTTTAGTGGAAAAATATTAAGTTATTTTCACATTTAGCCTTTAAGTATTACTAGTAATTGTCCCGTGCGATGTACGAACTATTATTAATTTAACAAATTTACCAATTAAAATTTTGACATCCTCTGAATTAGCAAAGAAAATAATGATTGTGAAAACAGAAAAACGTACTTGAGTTCTTGAGTTTAGAATTAGTTTGATTAAAAATGTAAGTATAACTATATAATGTAATATTTAATTTTTTAAAAGTTTAATTATACTATTATTATGTTGATTTTAAAGTTTATTGTTACTTGTATTATTATTTAAATTTGAATTTTTTTTTGAAAGGAAATTAAAATTGAAATAACTACTTTAATTATATAACTAACATATTTAAATAAAACTTGTAAATAAAATAACATGTGATATTTGTCGAAAATCTCCACCAAAAATTTATTCATTTGAAAAAGATTATTTATGTAAGAACTATATTTATTTTATATCTAATTTCTCCTCTTTATATACGTGGAGTCAAATTAATTATTATTGAGGTTTAAATGAATATACACACAAATTATATTAAATATAAAACTTTACCAATAAATTTGAACACAATAAACTTTTTTCCATACTTCATTATGCTTTAGTATATATAGAGATAGAGCTATAATCATAAAATATAATTTATAAAATATAAATACACATAATAACTTAAAAAAATATATATGTATCTACCCACACAATTAATGCATGCATACTTGCTAATCTTGTTTCTATCAAAATGCATTCACACTTTTGAGGAAAAATTTGGTGGCTAGATTCTACTTTATTATATATTTATTATACATAAAGATTTAATTTTTGTTACAGTAGCTACACCACTTATAACTTTATGTCACATGTTGTCCTTCTAACAAAAAAAATTGGTACAAAATAGATGGAATGCATTATATTTTTAATTTGGAATCATACGCTTTCTCTCAGAAAATGTGGATATGTTCAAGTAGGATACGATTGTGAATTGAAAATATGATACATTTTCATGATTTCTGTAAAAAAAAAATAATTTGGTCAGAAAACTAAATGTGATAAGATCGGAACGCTTGAAGTAATGGCTTATCTCATTTTTAAATAATGATTGCAGGTTTCTTCACACAAATATTATTATTTACTCGAAGATAAGGTCGACTGATAAAAAAAATTTGAAGTAGTTTAGGTAGAATGTCCCAAGCCTAAGGCCTAGCATAGTTAATACATTGGACCAACAATAGTTGAACCCAACCTAATTAAGGAGACAAGTCAAACCAATAGAAATTAATGGGATCTTAGTGACCCGGCCGGCCTCAAGTCCCTCAACACTACATCACCAATCAACACACCACACATTTCAACCAACCTATCTTAAATTCAATGTAGATTCAAACTACAATTATGTGGCCTTCTTAACAAATAAAAATAATTTATAATCCAACAATATTATATGTGCCCACACATTACTGATTGTATGAGATCGAATGGCTGGGTAGTTAAAAATGAAAATTAATCAGGACGATATAAGTAGTTAAATATTATGGATTGAAATGGTGATAATTTTGTAAATTTTCATAACTAAAATTTAATATTTTATAATATAAAATGTAAGCGTATTGCTAGATGTACTTATATAACTCTCGTTACATGTTCATATTTTTATTTTATTTTATTTTTTGAGTGAAGAAAAAGAAAGGAATAAAGCATGTCTCACTATTTGTCTAAATCATCACTTAAAATTTGTCGCATTAGTTAGAAGTGTCAAAACAATGAATAGAGAGTGAATGTTTGTGTAATATTAATTTAAAAGTATATATATTGCATTGTGTAACTAACCGTGCACACATGATCTATAAAAATATACTCAAGTTGAATGCACTCTTATTTATCAGTGGAAGCACTCTCAAGCTTTTTTTAGTGCACAAACAAAATTTGCAATAATTATAAAAACATCACTTTTTTTTTTTTTTTTTTTGTTACAATTTATCCGCACTTCTCAGCTAAAACAATATATCACTTGATGATGATGATGATGATAGTGATATATATATATATATATATATATATATATATATATATATATAAATTCTTCAATGCATGCAGCAAAAGCT